AGAATCAGGGTTTCTTTTACTGGATATTACAAAGACAACACATTTGTGATACAAATTAATCACCTTTTTTTTCAGGAAGACAAACTATAGGGGTCACTAAAGGATGTGTGCTGCAATACCTATGCTTCCCACTGACACCAGCACGCCCAGCCTCTCTCCAGCTTCTTCTTTTTTTTTTTTTTTTTTGGTTGGTTGTGGGGCTTGAACTCTGGGCCTGGGCGCTGTCCCTCAGCTCTTCAGCTCAAGGCGAGCGCTCTACCACTTGAGCTACAGCGCCACTTCCGGTTTTCTGGTGGTTTATTGGAGATAGGAGTCTCACGGTCTTTCCTGCCTGGGCTGGCTTTGAACCGCGATCCTCAGATCTCAGCCTCCTGAGTAGCTAGGATTACAGGCGTGAGCCACCAGCGCCCGGCTCTCCAGCTTCTTCTTTTTTTTTTTTTTTTTTTTGTTGGTTGTGGGGCTTGAACTCTGGGCCTGGGCGCTGTCCCTCAGCTCTTCAGCTCAAGGCGAGCGCTCTACCACTTGAGCTACAGCGCCACTTCCAGTTTTCTGGTGATTTATTGGAGATAGGAGTCTCATGGTCTCTCCTGCCCGGGCTGGCTTTGAACCGTGATCCTCAGATCTCAGCCTCCTGAGTAGCTAGGATTACAGGCGTGAGCCACCAGCGCCCGGCTCTCCAGCTTCTTCTTGCCCCACCGGCTTCCTTCAAGTCTGTGTCACACTCCTTCCCACTCTGGGGCTTTGCATATGTTCCTTTTTTTTTTTGAACTTGGCCTGGGCGCTGTCCCTCAGCTCTTCAGCTTTAGGCCAGCCTTGTACTACTTGAGCCACAGCACCACTTCTGGCTTTTTCTTTTTTTCTGCTTATGTGGTGCTGAGGAAGTGAACAGAGGGCCTCAAGCATGCAAGGCAAGCGCTCTACCACTGAGCCACCTTCCCAGCCCTTGTTTGTCTCTTGGTCTGATTTCACTTGGTGCTCTCCAGCACCCAGAAAGAAAGATCATTCTGCTGGAGGCCTAGGGAGGAGCCTGGCTTCCTGCACTGTGTCCTAACCAGATCACATCAGACACTCAAGGTCACCACCTAGCTACAGGTGTCACCGGAGGGAGGACCATGAGTCAGGGACAGAAGACAACTCCAGATCGTTAGCCCTGGTGTGACGTCTCCGCTTCCATCCTGGCCTCACCCCAGCTTCTCAGTCCTGCGCAATCTATTGGCACTGTGTGGTGAAACTATTTTTTATTGCTACAGATTATATTCATTCTGAATTTTTTTCTTTGGGGTATTTCTATTTCTGTTCAAAAAAATCTGTTCACAAATTCTAAAAATACTCTTCCATCAGTCTTTTCCAATGCTGAGATTATTTCTGTCAGGCAAACTTTAGCATAATTTATCTAACTCTTGTTACACTGATATTAAGAATGATGATAGTCAGTGCTGGTGGCTCACGCCTGTAATCCTAGATACTCAGGAGGCTGAGATTTGAAGATCATGGTTCGAAGCCAGCCTGGGCAGTAAGGTCTGTGAGACTTTTTTTTTTATTGTGACAATACCGTATAGAGGGGTTACAATTACATGGGCAAGAATATGAGTATGTTTCTTATCAAGCATTGTTGCCTCCTCCTTTGTTTCCCCTTCCCATCCCTTCCCATCTCCCACCCTCCACCCCCGACTTTTTTTTGTTGTTGTTGGTCGTGGGGCTTGAACTCTGGCCTTTGGGCGCTGTCCCTGCACTCTTCAGCTCAAGACGAGCACTCTACCGCTTAAGCCACAGTACCACTTCCGGTTTTCTAGTGGTTTATTGGAGATAAGAGTCTCATGGACTTTCCTGCCCAGGCTGGCTTTGAACCATGATCCTCAGATCTCAGCCTCCTGAGTAGCTAGGATACAGGCATGAGCCACTGGTGCCCAGCTGTGAGACTCTTATCTCCAATAAACTACTTAGAAAAAGCTGGAAGTGGCTCTGTGCTCAAGTGGGGGAATGCTAGCCTTGAGCACCAAAGCTCAGGGACAGTGCCCAGGCCCTAAATTCAAGCCCTAGGACCAGAAAAACAAACAAAAAAGACAATAATGTTGGATGCTAGTGGCTTGTAACTATAATCCTAGCTACTACTCTGGAGGCTGAGATCTGAGGATTACAGCTCAAAGCCAGTCTGGGCAGGAAAGTCCATAGACACTTATCTGCAATTAACCACCCAAAAACTATAAGTGGCACTGTGGCTCAAGTAGTAGAGTGCTTGCCTTGAGCTGGACAGTGCCCAGGCCCAGAGTTCAAGCCCCACAACCAATGGGCGAGTGGGGGAAAAGTCTCAGACCTTTGTTGCCTGGGCTATCTTTGAACCATGATCCTTGGATCTCAGCCTCCTGAGTAGCACAGGTGTGAGCCACTGGTGCCTGGCTTTCTGAGACTCAGCTCCAATTAACCAACAAAAAGTCAGAAGTAGAGCTATGGGGCCTGGGGGTTTAGCTCAGTGGAAGAGCACCTGCCTGGCGAATACAAGGCCCTGAGTTCCACCCTCAGCTCTGGGGGGAAAAAAAAGAAAGTAGAGCTATGGTTCAAGAATGCTAGCCTTGCTGATCACCTATATGGTATATATGTGCACACCAGAGGGAAGCCAGGAGGACAACACAGAACTAGAGGGAATCAGGGAAAAACATACAACAGCAGGACCCATCAGCTACACTGGACATTGATCAAAATGAACTAAGCAACTCAATGGCAGCGATGGGAGGGAGGGAACAGCTGACGCTATGCAAAACAAAAGAAATGTACATATCACCCAATGTGGAAGAAATAACTGTATCGCAAAGCTCATAGAACTCATAAATGTTATAGACCACAATAGACAATTTGCCCCATAAAAGTTAGAATGTGTTTGTGACTTTAAGTATCACTATTCCACAATACTGTGAAATCTGGAAAATTATGTAATCACTTAATCACAATAAAGAATTAAAAAAAATCTTAGGGACAGAGACAAGGTCCCAAGTTCAAGACCCAAGTTCAAGACCCACAACCAACAAAAAAATTTAAGGCAAAGGATGAAAAAATTGCAGCAGTGGTACTCACTAGACACTAGGTTGAAATGAACTATACAACTTGTAGTTCGGGATGGGAGGGAAAAACTGGGAGAGAGCAAGGGAAGGGGTGATACTGTTCAACAAGAAATGTACTTATAAGCCAGATGCTGGTGGCTCACACCTGTAATCCTAGCTACTCAGGAGGCTGAGATCTGAGGATTGAGGTTCAAAGCCAGCCCAGGCAGGAAAGTCTGTGAGACTCTTATCTCCAATAAACCACCAGAAAACCAGAAGTGATGCTGTGGCTCAAGTAGTAGAGCACTAGCCTTGAGCTGAAGAGCTTAGGGACAGCACCCAGGCCCAGAGTTCAAGCCCATGACATAAAAAAAAGAATGCTAGCCTTTAGCAAAAAAGCCAAGAGAGAGCAAAAGGCCCTGAGATCCAGCTCTAGAACACACACACACATACACACAAACACACACACACACACACATAAGATATAAATCCTAAAATCTAGTTTATCTTAAAACAAACATGCTACCATTGCATACCATTACATAATTTGGAATAAACCAGTAAGGTTAAAATTGGCCATTACAGGTAGTCATGGAACTGTAATCCCATAAACTAGGTAGCATAAAATACTTTTTAATTATATTCAAAGTCTGCCTACTTAACATCTCCTTAGCACTCCCCTTCCACTAAGCCACTCCAGCACATGAAGGGAAAAGGGAAATGCAGTGTTTGGATTCCTCAGGTTGGAAGCAGGCCTCTCGTGGGACATGCTTGGTTTCCTGCTTGCAGCCTGGCTCAGCATCAACTAGACCTTTCTCAGTCTGGCGCCATACAACCAGCCTGGGGAGAAAGCAGGTATTTATAAAGAACACAGCGAAACCTCACCCAATTTCAGTTTTCAGCACCCTAATTAGAAAGGCTAACTGGGCGGTTCTTCTACCACTCAGGAAAACCATCTCAAGAAACACTGAAGCCTTTAACAAAGGGGCATTTATGCAGTACAATAAGACTTTGATATCTGTAATGGCTTAAAAAAATACCTTCCCAACCTGAGGAAATTAACTCAGCAGATTACATTTAAAGATACTAACTTCCCTAATTTTATTCCTGTATAATAAAAGGAAACCAAAGAAGCTGGGAGCAGGTGGCTCATACCTGTAATCCTAGCTACTCAGGAGGCTGAGATATGAGGATCCTGTTTTGAAGCCAGGATCAAACAAGTCTCTTATCTACAATTATCCAGCAAAAAGCTAGATGTGGAAGTATGGCTCAAGGGCAGAGCACAAACCTTGACCAAAAAGACTAAGCTAAAACTTGAAGACCCATGTTCAAGCCCCAGTACCAGCAATCAAAAACAAGGGGCTGGAAGGTGGTTCAGTGGTAGAGTTCTTGCCTTGCACACATGAGGCCCTGGCTTTGATTCCTCAGTACCACATAAGCAGAAAAAGCCGGAAGTGGAGCTCTGGCTCAGGTGGTAGAGCACTAGCCTTGTTTTTGTTTTTTTGTCGGTCGTGGGGCTTGAACTCTGGGCCTGGGCACTGTCCCTCAGCTCTTCAGCTCAAGGCGAGCGCTCTACCACTTGAGCTACAGCACCACTTCCGGTTTTCTGGTGGTTTATTGGAGATAGGATTCTCACGGTCTCTCCTGCCCGGGCTGGCTTTGAACCGAGATCCTCAGATCTCAGCCTCCTGAGTAGCTAGGATTACAGGCGTGAGTCACCAGCGCCGGGCTTGAGCACTAGCCTTAAGTTGAAGAGCTGAGGAAAGTGCCCAGGCCCAGAGTTCAGGCCCCACAACCGGCAAAAAGAAAAAAAGAAAAAAGAAGGTTGGGGATTTAGCTTAGGGGAAGAGTACCTGCCTAGCAAGTGGAAGGCCCTGAGTTAGGTCCTCAGCTCTGCACAAAAACAAGCAACAACAAAAAATCCCTTTGTACAAAAACCCAAAAGCCAAGGAAAGCATTTTTCTTTATTATTAAAAATATTTTTATTGACTGAAGCTGATCAGTTCTCTTAGAAGGGAATAGAGTTACAAAGTATATTCTTTAAAAAAAAATCAATTACTTTGCAAGTTAAAACAGCAGTGTTTGAGTCTGTGTATAAAAACACCTGTTTAGATGCTGGTGGTGTGTAAGTCAACGACAGCAGGCCTGGCTGAGGCACGGCTGGGCTGGGCTGGGCTGGGGCGGATCCACCTCATGTCACGCACGTCACAGGCAGCAACATGGTGAACTTTCACCATCGCCTCCCACACGGGTCAGGCCCAGCAAAGGCAGTGAAAGCTCTGGGTTCTGGAGACAGCGATTCTCAGGTATCTGGAACTGAACCGGATAAGATGCTGGTTGTAAGTTAAATGAGCACCAGGATTAGAAAGCTGGTGGCTGGGGCTGGGAAGGTGACTCAGTGGTAGAGCTCTTGCCTTGCATGCATGAGGCTCTGGGTTTGATTCCTCTGCACCACATAAGCAAAAAGAAAAAAGCCGGAAGTGGTGCTGTGGCTCAAGTGGTAGAGCGCTAGCCTTGAGCTGAAGAGCTGAGGGACAGCGCCCAGGCCCAGAGTTCAGGCCCCACGACCGGAACCCGAAAGGAAAGAAGGGAGGGACAGCGCCCAGGCCCAGAGTTCAGGCCCCACGACCGGAACCCGAAAGGAAAGAAGGGAGGGAGGGAGGGTGTTTTCCGTGCGAGGCTCTAGGCATCATGTATCAAGAGTTGCTCTAGTGCTCCACCTTACAGACAAGGCTTTTCCCTCAGTGTAATTCTAGGCTGTACAGGTACGAAAAGGTCTTGTTTCCTCTACATGAAAATATTCCCTCTGTACAAAAATGGTTAACTGAAAGCAAACAAAATATAGATGGTTTAAGGAAGTCCAGTTTCAGCTTCTGCTTTCTCTTGGTATTAGGCTGTGCTTGTTCCGCTCACTTGCCTGTTTCCAGGTGAAGTGTGTTCTGGGCTGTCTGCCTCCCCAGTGATGAAAAATCTGCTTCTGGGGAAAGGAAACAGTCCACAAGTGAAAAATCAATGAGCACTGGATAGCGAGCTGAAAGCTCATGATTCTACCCCATTGGCTGCACGTCAGATTTTCACTGATGTAAGGCCATGCAGGGCATCTAAACAGAGAACTTCTCAGCAATGAGAGTGGGGCAGAGGGAGAGCCAAGGCTCCCATTTCCTGCCTGCGGAGCTTTAAGGCTCTTGGCTCGCCATGTAGACATCTGCAATGTCTGTGCTATGTAACTCGTGAGACGCTTCATGTGAGATGAAGTTCCAACTGAAGGACACAACCCAGGAAGCAAGTGCTTCCTGGGTTAATAAACTTTTCTTTTCTTTTCTTTTTTTGCCATTCCTGGGGCTTGAACTCAGAACCTGAAGACTGTCTCTTAGCCTCTTTGTGCTTGAGGTTTGCATTCTACCACTTGAGCCACACCACCACTTCCAGCTTTTTCTCTTTTTTTTTTTGGGGGGGGGCGGGGGAGGGTCCGGTCGTGGAGCCTGAACTCTGGGCCTGGGCGCTGTCCCTCTTCAGCTCAAGGCTAGCGCTCAACCACTTGAGCCACAGCGCCACTTCCGGCTTTTTTCTTTTTGCTTATGTGGTGCTGAGGTATCGAACCCAGGGCCTCATACATGCAAGGCAAGCGCTCTACCACTGAGCCACCATCCCAGCCCCACTTCCAGCTTTTTCTGAATAGTTGTTGGAGATCACAGTCTCACGGGCTTTCCTGCCTGGGCTGGCTTTGAACCATGATCCTCAAATCTAATCCTCTTGCATAGCTAGAATTACAGGTGTGAGCCGCTAGTGCCCGGCTTTCAATAAACTCTTATAAAGCTTGCAACCCCATGTAACAATTTCTTTCCAGACATTCAGATGAAATGATAATTCAGTGCTGCTGTCAAAACAAGGTCTCCCTGTGTAGCTCAGACTGGCTTTAAATTTATAATGCTCCTGCTTCAGTCTCCAAGTGTTAAGATTACTGACGAGTACTATTATGGTTGGCCTTAGATACTGGTTTTAAAGCTGGATCTATATATTCACTTCCTTAAATTCAAAATTCCAGGTACCAAGAATGACTTTTTTTTTTTGGGGGGGGGTTGGTTGTGGGGTCTGAACTCTGGGCCTGGGCACTGTCCCTCAGCTCTTCAGCTCAATGCTAGCGCTCTACCACCTGAGCCACAGCGCCACTTCTGGATTTTTCTGCTTATGTGGTGCTGAGGAATGAAACCCAGGGCCTCATGCATACAAGGCAAGCACTCTACCACTTAGCCACCTACCCAGTCCCTACGAATGACTTTTTGACTTTTATTCTGATTAAGTTTAGAAGGTGTGTACAGTAGAAACAGGTCAAATGAGAGAAAATATCACTGGTCAAACAAATGCATGCCCTGACTCTACATTATCAGCATGCCCGAGTTACTTATTAAATATCAGCTGAGATACAGGTGAGACAAGCAAAGGTGACTTACCCAGGATAACCAGCTAGCTTGCTTCCTTCAGTGACTGACAATGACATTCTTTTGAACTGATTCTTCTAATACTTCTAGATTCTGAAAAACAACTCTCAAATTAGTACCAGGATAGAGAAAGTAGAAAAATACCTGAAAAGTCTAAATGAAAACATAGCAGAAAGGCCTCTGAAAGACCCTTAGTGAACTGATGGGACTTGTGAAGCAATCCCATACAACCTATCCATCCATCCATCCAAAAATTATTTCCTTCCTTCCTTCCATTCATCCATACTTCTATCCAACAGACATGGAGGTGTGACTCCAGTAGTAGAGCATTATTGCTGAGCAAAAAACCTCAAGGATAGTGTCCAGGTCCTGACCTTCAAGCCCCAAGACGACAGGCAGTGTGTGTGCGCGCACATGCACACACACACACACGCACACACACAGAGTCCTTCTCTGAGTTTTAAAAAAAAATGTATGGCCAGGCACTGGTGGTTCACATCTATAATCCTAGCTTCACAGAAGGCTGAGATCTGAGAATCATGGTTTGAAGACAGTCCAGTTAGCAAGAGTCCATGAGACTCCTATCTCCAGCTAGTCACCAGAAAACTGGAAGTGGCACTGTAGTTCAAATGGTGGAGTGCTCGCCTTGAGCTGAAGAGCTCAGGGACAGCGCCCAGACCCAGAATTTAAGACTCACGACTGACAAAAATTTAAAAAAAGTATATGGATGGGAAAAGTTAAAACAGCAAGAATTCGATGGCTATTGAAAGTAAGTGGTTGTATTATTCCTTTTACTTGTTTGTATACTTAAAATTGTGTATGTATTTGAAATTCTGTGTTTCTGGAAACTGCCAGAAATTTGGGCTGAGGGCTGACGCTAGCTCTCTGGCCGAGAGCTTACCATGCGGAGGCCCTGCAAGCACACACACACACACCAACTCGCTTCACACGTCCCAGGAAATGAGAAAGAGGCAGAGGGAGACTGGATGCAGATTATGGCTTCGTCTCTTTAACCCTCCCTTCCCTCTCCCTCCTTCCTTTCCCTCTCCCTGGAGACGCAGGAAGCTAAGGCTGCCTGCCAGTGCCAGGTACACGGAGGGCTCAGACCCTCCCAGCAGGCACCAGAAAGGAAACGCACATTTCTGTCACTGCTGGAGTGCTTCTCACAGCTGAGGGGCAGCAGCGTGCTCAGCTCCAGATCTGTGACCATCTGCCGGGATTCCGCCAGCAGCCGCTGAAGCTTACTTGTGGGCGAAAAGTCATCCTGGGGAAGTAACCCAGGCTAGGTGAGGTTCACAGACACGGAGAGAACCGTCAACAATAGACATCGAACACTACAGTAGGCAAACCCCTTGGGAGTGGGCCAGGGGAGAATGGCAGGTGGGACCCACACTTCCTCTCCAACTTTATTTCTTCAAAAAGAAAACAAAGCAAATATGCCAAAATGTAAATGTCTGTTCAACTGCTGCACAGGTGTTGGTTCTTTTCTTTCTTAATGCTTAAAATGCTTATTTCTTGGTCCTTGTCTGCAAGGACCCATGGCAGCAACAGGCTGTGGGCCCCTCCAAGGAGGCTGCTTTGTGCACTCATTGCATAAAATGTTAACCGTCCGTGAATCCCCTGGGAGGGCAGCCTGGGAGGGCAGGGGTGCCTTGAGTGAACTGCACAATAGCTAACAGAAAGCAGAAGGTGAAATGCACTTTGGCTGATCACATAAAACAAGGACACGTGGGCCCTGAGCCTCTATGGCCAAGTGCTGGGGAAGTGCGGGAGCTGTACGTTATGCATGCAAACCTGCCTGTGAGGAAGGGAAGACAGAGGGGCTGGCGGAGCCCAGGCCACCCACTTTGGAGGCTTCTCAATTTGGAGGACCCCAGAGGACCAGCAGGCCTGAGCAAGGGCTCAGGCCAAGAGAACACTGGCTCTTAGTGACCCCGCTTCCTTCCTAATTTCCTCTTCACCCTCCAGGTGTATCTTCTGGATTGCTTAACAAGAACCTTAGTCTCACACTGCAATTTCAGAACCTGAGGAATGGCCAAAGTCAAGCACTGGCACCAATGGACAAAGTACCTCTGAGACACCCAAACTTAAAAGCGGAACACAAACCTTCTCACCAGACAGCGCTGTATCCTTGCTGAGGACCAAAGCCTTGGACAGGTTCTTTTTCTCAGGCAGGACCTCGCTCTCATCTTCTCTACCGGCAGATTTTGAAGAATCCAAAGAGTGGGAATGCTGGAGGGCAAGGAGTTCACTGTGAACAGGAAAACCAGACAGAAACAGCGACCTGAAACCAGCACTGCACACGCTCGCTCGCCACTGCCCTCACTCTTGAAAGCGCCTCAGCGGCCTGAAACCAGCACTGCACACGCTCGCTCGCCACTGCCCTCACTCTTGAAAGCGCCTCAGCGACCTGAAAACAGTACTGCACACGCTCGCTCGCTACTACCCTCACTCTTGAAAGCACCTCAGCAACCTGAAACCAGCACTGCACACGCTCGCTCGCCACTACCCTCACTCTTGAAAGTGCCTCAGCGGCCTGAAACCAGCACTGCACACGCTCGCTCGCCACTACCCTCACTCTTGAAAGTGCCTCAGTGACCTGAAAACAGTACTGCACACACTCACTACTACCCTCACTCTTGAAAGTGCCTCAGGATGACAGAAAAGGGTTAGGTGTTAAGTTATTTATTCAGAGACAGGGTCTCACTATGTAGTCTAGACTAGCTTTGAGCTTTTGTATTGAGGGGGCGGGGGACGGGGAGATGGTAAGAAAACTTGGCAGAAGCCAGGCACCAGTGGCTCATGCCCGTAATCCTAACTACTCAGGAGGCTGAGATGTGAGGATCCTGGTTCAAAGCCAACCAGGGCAATGAAAGTCTGTGAAGACTTTTTTTTTTGGATCTGGTCGTGGGGCCTGAACTCTGGGCCTGGGCGCTGTCCCTCAGCTCTTCAGCTCAAGGCTAGGGCTCTACCACTTGAGTCACAGCAACACTCCCCGCTTTTTTTTTTCTTTTTGCTTATGTGGTGCTGGAGAATTGAACCCAGGGCCTCATGCATGCAAGGCAAGCACTCTACCACTGAGCCACCTTCCCAGCCCAAGTCTGTAAGACTTACCTCCAACTAACCACCAGAAAACCAGAAGTGGTTCTGTGGCTCAAGTGGTAGAGTGCTAGCCTTGAGCTGAAGAGCTTAGGGACAGCGCCCAGGCCCAGAGTTCAAGCCCCACAAACAACAACCAAAAAAAAAAAAAAATTTGGCAGAGCTTTATTAATTAAGTATGCAAGCAGGCAAGCAGTCAGACAGAAGGGCAGGGCACACTCTACCAGAGTATGTGTGCTCTCACAGGGAGACAGACACACCAGCTTTGACCTTTGATTCTCCTGCCTCAGCCTCCTGAATGTTGGATTACATCGCAAGTATGCACCGCAACCCCCAGCTTAAACCTGATTTTTAAATGATGAAGCCCCAGACGGAGTAGGCTATTGTAGATTTCAGTATACATTAATGCATACCTTTCTCAAATAAAAATTAAAACAAAATTTGCAGTTAAGCATAGCTATAAGAATCAGGAATTTACACCTGTAATCCTAGTTCCTCAGGAGGCTGAGATCTAAGAATCACAGTTCAAAGCTAGCCCAGGCAGAAAACTCCATGAGACTCTTATCTCCAATAAACTACTAGAAAACCGGAAGTGGCACTGTGGCTCAAGCGGTAGAGTGCTAGGACAAGGACAGCACAAGGACAGCGCCCAAACCTAGAGTTAAAGCCCCACGACCAACCAAAAAAAACAAAAGAATCAGGAATTTGGAGCCCCCTGTAATCCTAGCTACTCAGGAGGCTGAGATCCAAGGATTGAGGTTCAAAGCCAGCCTGGGCAGGAAAGTTTATGAGACTCTTAACTCCAATAAATCACTAGAAAACCAGAAGTGGCGCTGTGGCTCAAGCAGGTAGAACACTTGCCTTGAGCTGAAGAGCGCAGGGACAGCGCCCAAGCTGAGTTCAAGCCCCACAACCAACCAAAAAAAAATCAGGAATTTGGGCTGGGAAGGTAGCTCAGTGGTAGAGTGCTTGCATGAAGCCCTGGGTTCAATTCTTCAGTACCACAGAAAAAGCTGGAAGTGGCACGGTGGCTAAAGTGGAAGAGTACTAGCCTTGAGCAAAAGAAGCTCAGGGACAGTGCCTAGGCCCTGAGTTCAAGACCCAGGACTGGACACACACACACCCACCACCACCACCACCATCACCCACCCCCTCCCCCCACCCCCAGGAACTTCCCTCTTGCAAATAAGCAGAGAGGGCTGAGGTGCAGCTGGGGAGGAGAACACTTGCTTAGCATGTTGGAGGACCTGTTTCAAAGAAAGAAAAGCAGGTCTAAGGACAGGGAAAACAGCAGAGTGTGAGGTTAATGGGGTTCAGGAGACTAAGGTCACTCTGGTCCCTTACCCCCACAGCTGCCAGACTCAGGAGACACACAGGAGAGCCATCACCTCTGGCTTCTGCCATGGAAAACCTCTATTTGTCAAGAGGAGCAAATGTGAACCTTTTTTTTTTTGCCAGTCATGGTGCCTGAACTCGGCCTGGGCGCTGTCCCTCAGCTCTTCACCTCAAGGCTAGTGCTCTACCACTTGAGCCACAGCACCACTTCCAGCCTTTTCTGCTCGAACCCAGGGCCTTATGCATGCAAGGCAAGCACTCTACCACTGAGCCACCTTCCCAGCCCCGTGAACCTTTTCCTTAGATGATAAAGCAGCCACACAGGTTCTTTTTTTTTTTTGTCGGTCATGTGGCTTGAACTCTGGGCTTGGGTGCTGTCCCTGTGCAATTCAGCTCAAGGCGAGTGCTCTACTGTTTGAGCCACAGCGCCACTTCTGGTTTTCTAGTGGAGATAAGAGTCTCATAGAGTTTCCTGCCCGGGCTGGCTTTGAACCGTGATCCTCAGATTTCAGCCTCCTGAGGATGACAAGGGTGAGCCACTGGCGCCTGGCTCCACACAGGTTCTTTTTTTGTTTTGTTTTGTTTTTTTGTTTTTTGGGTCCGGTCGTGGGGCCTGAAGTCTGGGCCTGGGTGCTGTCCCTCAGCTCTTCAGCTCAAGGCTAGCGCTCTACCACTTGAGCCACAGTGCCACTTCCGGCTTTTTTCTT